AGATCCTGGGGCACCAGGGAAGGCCACTGAGGTGCAGATCGAGGCCAGTGTTTGAGAGCAACTTCAACATCCAGATGGGCAGGACTTTGAGAGGCATCGACACCTACTGCAGAAGAGAAACCTGCAGCTGGACATGGAGCTGCCACTGCCCTCTCCTGCCCCACATCCTTCAGGAGCTGAGCAGAGCACCACAGCACCACGACTGGACAGAATGCAAACCAGGAGCTGAGTTATAATGAACAAGTCAACTGAACAAGCCAGGAATGAGCCTTGGCAATTAATTCAACACTTCTGGCCACCGAGTGCTGCAGAAGGCCCAAGGCAGGCAGCAAGTGCCTGCCCAGCAGGGACGTTGTCCCTGTTTGACACTGTTTGCCCTGGTGGCAACCAGCTCCTGGGGCAAGCCCTGCTCAGCCCCACCTCCTGAAAAGCTGTGATATATGGTCACAACCAAGATTACACACCCCTCTGCAAAGGGCTCAGAGCAGCAGGGAGGGGAGGGCAGGGACACGATGTTGTGTCTCCAGCCGAAGGCAGAGGTGGGACAGATCAGGGACTCACACACGGTGCAGGGGGTCCAGACGCTGCATCCTTGCTCATATTGAGGGAAATCCCTCCCACTTCCCTCATCAAATCCATAGGCTGGAACAAGTCCTGTATTCAGCACCCAGAACCACTGCACTGGGGATGAGCACTCAGCACTGTGTGGGCCCACTCTGCCCAAGACTCAAACCAAGAGCCACAACCATTTTGGCCACCGAAAAGCAGGGGCAGAGCCAACAGTGCCCACTGAAGGGAGGCTCAGTGTCAGTAACACCTGCACTGGAGGGACCCCTTCCTCCCCACCCTCCCCACTTTCCCTTCCACCCTGGTGTGCTCAGTACCTGCTCACTTCCCAAAGCCAAAGGCTTACACTCAACCTATGTGGTTAAATCCACCTTCACTGCTGTGAAGGGCTGAAGCCCTGAAATGCTTCCAAAATCCTGCAGCAGCAACAGCACAGCCACCCCAGTCATCTGCTCCAGGAACAGTCAGTCACACAGGAAGTGATCAGGGCCAAGAGCATCCCACAGCCAAAAAGCTTTAGTTCTCTTACAGTGCTTGTTTCTCTACACCTATACTTTGCTGGGTTTTTGTAAGGTAGGAACAGCAAAAGCTGAAAGCGTTGGGGATGCAGCTGGAAAAGGCTCAAAGGGACAGACTATCCCAGCAAACCAGTGGGTAACAGCTGGAAAAGCCAGGAGCTTTCAGGAGCAAACTTTGCTCCAGCTCTAGAAGGTCTTTCTGTTTTCAAGCTAAACCCATCACCTGCTCTGGGGAAGAAAGAAGATTGCAAAGGGGGAAACGCAGTAATGGCACCAGTTCCTATGAAAAACAGAGAATCAGCCTGTGGAACAAGGGAAAGCAGAGCACCAGGAAAAGCCACATCTTCCAAGCCCACATTGTCAAGTCCAACAGGGTGGAAAACAGAGTTACACATCAGAAGAGTTGTGGGGAGCACCACAGACTTGGCAAAAGTCTCTCCAGCTGTGATGGACCATGGACAAGGCTCAGTAAGAGGCACTCAGCTGAGCAAGGAGCATTTCAGTTCCCCCTCCTTCCCCAGCCATCCCCTGTGCCAGGTGACAGCACCAAGCCCAGGCAGCACTCGGCTCTTCTGCGCTGCTTTTTCCTTCTCTCACTCCTGAGCTTTAAGAAACGACCCCAAGGCAACTCTGAAAAATCACTTATCTCAACCTGTAATTGAGAAACCTATTTAATAGTTACTTAAACCCGGAGCAGCTCTGAGCATGCAGCAGCTGATGAATATGCATGGCCTGGGATTTGCATTTCATGGCAGGGTGAAGACAGGATGTCAGGCAAATGAGCTATGAGAAATGTTGCCCATGCAAATGTTCACTCTGCTCCAATTTCTCACTGTAATTCTCATCCTTGGAGCCATTTTTGTCATTCTCTTATTTGCATTGGAAATGTAGTAAAAAAATAATGTAACTTCACCAAAATTGGTCCTTCTGTGCAGACAGGATGGATTCTTTACTACATCTGTGATAGAGTGGAGACCTGAACTACTGACAGGCAAAAATAAATGCTGAAGTCCTGCTGACACTGTGCTAGGCCAGGCAGTTCTGAAGGTCTCCAAAACCACATCTCCTTCATTTAACTTCCCAGCCCTTACCTGAACAAGGCTTGTTATTAGACAAACCACCAGAGATCTTCAGGAACAGAAAAGCTGCTGTTTTCACCCCCAGTTTCATTTTCTGTTTTCTGCTTTCAGAGGGGAGACCATGAACACAGGACAGCTGCTGTTTCCCCTTGAGAGAGACCAGGACAATCTGCTCATCCAGGCTTTGAGAACCTCAGCAAATGGACTAAACATTGAGATTCCCACCTGCACCACTGCATCCAGCTCTGGGGTCCCCAACAAAAGGACATGGACCTGCTGGAGCAAGTCCAGAGGAGGCCATAAAGCAGCTCAGAGGGCTGGAGCACCTCTCATGTGTATAGAGTTGTTCAGGCAGGAGAAGGTTCCAAGAAGACCTTAGAACCCCCTCGGTAACTAAAAGTGCTACAGAAGTTTGAGAGGGACTTTCAACAAGAGCATGAAGTGAGAGGACAAGGGGAAATGGCTTCAAACTGACATAAAGGGGAGGTTTATATTAGATATCAGAAGAAATTCTTCCCTGTATGTCTCTTTTACAAGCTGCCTCCCAAACTGAAGAACATCTTCAGGAAAGCCACAGGTCACAGCAGGGCTGTTTTTAGGAGTTGTTCTCTGATCTGTTCCCAGTCAGATTGCGAAAGGATACAACGAGGTTACACGTTGTCTGTTTGCATGTAAATGCTCTCAAAGCAGAAAGCAGCTCTCCAGTTACTGGGCAATTCTCTGCTTGATTTCAGTGCATAACCAGCACTGTCAGTCATTCAGTATTAACTATTTCAAGTTATACCGCCTCAAATTTTAGCAGCTTCACGGCAGCACTACAATACTCATATTTTGCCCACAGTATTTTATCACATTTCCCCATTTCCTGAATTCCAACGTGCAAACCCCCTTCTTTCTCCCTGGCCCAAAGCAGCCCAATTAACAAGGTTTAATGGCTGCTATGACAACGTGCCACAAACAACACCCTCCTGCGAGGGCACAGCCCAACCAGGTACAACTGCCTGGGGCGCTGGAGCACCGACCTGCTCTCAGAGCAAGCAGGGCAGAACGGTCCCAAGAAACAAGAATTTTAGGGCAGCGAAATCCACATTTTCCCCAGTGCAGACCTTTTATCAAAGGTTCCCTCCCGGAGAGCTGCTGAACACGAGGGAGGGGGGTCGGTGAGTGGAGTGACCACTGGATGTCACTGCTGCTTTAGGCACGGCCAGCAGGGCAGCCCTGCACGGGCACGGCTGCAGACTCACCCCACAAACACCAACACCTCAGCCGGGACTGCCAGGCAGCCAGAAAGAACTTTATAGCACCTCGTTTTCACTACACAGAAGTTTATTATGAAAGTTAAACATACAACACAAAAAGTAGCAAAAGCAATCCTGTAGCTTAAGGCAACTCTTACAGGAGATGAATTCGAGAAAGATGATGCAACTTCAGTTTAAATAGAAATCATGAAAAATATCAAATTGCATCAATAACTTAAAATGCACTTTAAAAAGTCTGCACTAACCAGCAGAGGGGAAGGGCTGTGATCTTAATGCCAGCATTAAGATATGGGAAGCAGCAGAATGCTAAATGATGATAGGGAAAGTTCAGTATTTACACAGAGATAGCAACGTTAATATCTGAGAGCGTCATTTCCTGTGTACTTCTGGTTCAAAACCACCGTCTGAAACGTTAGGAAAACCTTTTAAAATAAATCTTCAGACTATTCCATCAAAAATACACAGATGGCAGAGAAGATCCAAGGCTAGGGCTGCGTGCAGCTGCATGCGTGTGTCCCTTAAATAACTCTTTGCAGAAACACTTTAGAAAAATTACTTCTTTGGGGGAAGAAAAGCAAGAAGAGTACGTGGCCACAGAGTGAAAAAGATTATCTTTCAGGTGAATCACATTTAAATTGAAGTATCAAAATATTTCTATTTGATGAGATTCTCACAGTTTACAGTTAATGACATTTTTAAGTGAATGTTAAATATTCATATTATTAACATACAAAGATTCTCCTTCACATTGACATCTGCTTACATTTTTGCAAGACCTCTTTTGCATCAATTGTTTTGCCATTAATGAGGAACGTGTAATTGTCTTAATTATAGAATTTAATAAAGATTTAACTGTTCTAACCATACAGAGTTTCTAGCTTTAAAATAATTCTTAAAATACTGAAGTCAGATCACCTATTTTAAAAAGGTATTTAAGTGACATTTTAATCAATCAGGCTGTACAGGAAGCACCACATTTTAACAAAGCCAAATGACATCACATTTCCAATCAATTTTCTTCAAATATTGGATGCAATGAAAACTTTGGAACAAGTCCATTCACCATCACCCCAAATAAACCAAGATTAATTCACACATTAATTCATCCCAAATCTTACCCTGTTAGAAAATGCAATATATACTGCAATGTAGTCTTAACTTGCATAAGATTTAATAGAAGTGGCCTGTGTGCAGGGTGAGGCTTCTGCACACAACCTCATCTCAGCTTTTCACCATCCAGCACAACTTTACAAAAAGCCTAAGATATAAAATATACTTAAAGCAGTTATCTTAAACATGATTTCATACATATCACCTTGGCAGCTGATCATTTTGTTCCCAGTTGAAATGCTGTTGGATCTGATTGTGGAGTTGCAGTATCCCTTTCCAGAAGGAGTTAAAAAAATCCCTGAATAAAGCAGAAGCCAGCCTGCGACTTCCTCTGAGTTTCAGTAAAGCACTATATACAGGGGCCAAGAGCCACCCAAACTCACGGGATACAGAAAAAACCCAGGCCAGATACCGGGGCAGATGCATTAATGCCTGAAAATATACACTTGAAAATGAAAATATTTTATCATTTAAAAAGTGGAACTAATGAATCGTTAGCAGTTAAAAGAATACTGTAACCGTAACGTTTACAAACCCACGAAAGTTTGAAAACTGATTCCAACAGCTCTGATTCACTGGGTTTAGCTTGGAAATAACGCAAAATAATGTCAGCAGTTTTAAGAAGGTCTTGCAAATTTGGAAAAAAAAGAAAACTGAAAGAAAGATAAGAATGCGTATCTAAAATAAAGCAGGAGCACAGTTAGGACAATGAAAATTCCAAAAGCCCATATTAAAAAATTAAGCTTGGAATGCATTGGCTTCCAGCAGTTTTTTTAAAAAAAAAAAACAAAACAACAAAAAAAAAGTTCTAAATCTGCAATATCTTGACCTATTTTTAAGTGACAATTTTTATTACAGTTGAGAAAAACGGTTTTATAGCTGCATAAGTTTCCATTTCACTAAGATAGTGCCAACAAAAATAAGTTTGCATAGAAAAAACAAAATTTCAAATTGCCACTGGCTACATGCTTAAAATGGGAAATGCAGGTATTGTAACATAAACATAGTGCAAACCATGGCAGCTGGTGGTGCTTGGACTGCCGCAGGTCAGGAACAGACCATAATATACCCAGTTCTCACAGTTTCTGGTCTTTTATTCAATCTTTGCCAAGTAGAAGCAATGCACGTGTGCAGCCCATTAACGGAGTTTGAGATCATCTCCACTGCCCAGGGTAGACCCAGGACTAGGGTCTTGCTGTCTTCTTGCCTGCAGCAACAAACACACGCTGGAGATCAAAAAAGGCAATCCCGACGTCATCAGTCAATTTATTCAGTGCATTAACATGACTAAAACCACAACCAATTTAAGGCAGAAACTTTACAATTCAGCAGTAGCAAAAGCATTAATTTTTAACACCAAAATCATTGTGTCCCTCAATTCAATGATCCCCCATAACCAGCAGGAATCCCAGGGCAGGGTGGGCACATCCCACTGCTCCAAAGGCCCTCCTGCAGCCAGGCTTCAAACAGCACCTTAACAAGCAGCAAGAGACTTCCAGAACAGTTAGGTAACAATTTTGTGTCCCTTTTTCCAAAATAATTTTATTCCCCTTCTGTTAGCCTTTTCTGTAAATGTTTTCAGTACCAAGATTTTAGAGAGAAAGGCTACAATGCAAGATGGCAGAGCATGTCACATCATTTCCAAATAAATCTCCCCTCAGCATTTTTACATGGGAAACATTTACTTCAGCTTCTTCAGGAATCAGGAATTATATAATTCTGGAATTATAACATGGTAACACACAAGCGTAATTTAATCGATAGATTGACACATGTTTTAACACATAATTTCTTTTTCAGTGCACCTGCAAAGTTGGTAAGAATATCAAACTGAGAAAACTCTGGGACTGATAATTGCACCCCTGTATTAAAACAAATGTAAGTTCTCCTTTAAAGAAATCATTCTGTTAAACAGTTTGAGCTGATGGCATCGTAAAGAGGAAATTAAGGACGGTCAGTCACAGTTAGAGAGGCTACCTTTGACTTGTCCTTCTTTACTTCTGCCTCCCTTATCTACCATTCTTCTTGTCTGCCCAGTTGGATGCTCCCAGTGATTAACTGGTTACTGCACCCAGGGAACTGCTGCTTCCTTCTGCTTAAAAACTGATTTGAAGTTCCATTTTCCTTTCATGGGCAGTGGTCCCACTCTGATGCACACGGACCTCATTCAATAAATCCCCCCAGCAACCAACATGTTTCCAGAGCAGACAATTCCCTCCTGCACTCTCCTTAGTGGTCACATTGCCATTGTTGTTTTGGAAACACCTCCACTATCTTAAATATCACAGTTGCTACCTGCTACCTTTATGCATCCAGTGCTGCCCTTGGTTGCACTTTAGGTGTTCAGGGGTGAGTCAATCTTTTCACTCTGTTCTATCTGGGTGGGTCACACTCTGACTGAGGGAACAATCTGCTTCTCCTCCATGCAGAACTCTGAAGGTGTCAGCCAACATCACTGCTGGTGCACAACCCCCCAGATTTCTCAGTAATCTTCCTGAGGAATCACATTAAAGCAAACAGCTCTAATCACACACAGCACTGACGATTTTAGTGTTTAAGGGCATTTTCCTTTCAGCCCCTGAAGCAACTTCTGCAAGCTGTCCTCTTTGTGGAGATGCTGAATATTAGAAGATGGTGTTTAATTAGAGATTTTTACATAATTTCCAAAAGGCAAATCATTCAGCTTTGACTATCAAAATCACTGTGGAAAGGTTAATGAAGGAAAGCCCACACTTTTTTTTCCCTTTCAACAGAAAAGTAAACTGTGTTGTAAAGATTTTTCTTAATATGAAATGGTTGTTCAACAAGTCTTAAATTAGTGTGACAGTATCTATTTAGAGTTCTACAAGATTAACAAAACAGAAACAGTTCCACTTCGCATACTCTTCTCCTATTGAACTGACTGCAACAAGATTTCTTCTGGTTTTAACTGTTGCCTCTTTCTTCTAGAGGGAAACAAAGGCAAGCACTGTCTATAGGAATTACCAAAATCTTACTTCTACTAATCTTCTACCAATTTTGCACTCAATAAACATTTTTACACTTAACTAGAAAAGACCAGCAAGTTAATTGCTGCTCTACTGCTGCTCTAAAAGCAACAGTGTTTCTTCCTCAGAAAGCAAATCACACACACAGCAATTTTATTGTCAAATTTCAGTGAAGATTCCAGGATACGGGCATATGGTTGCATTTATGCTTTGCTTAAAGTGGTCTTTTCTTTCAAAACATATGAAAGAAGTTGTGTGATTCGTGACCTCACTGCTGCTTGCAGAGTGTGCAGAAGCCACTGGTGAACCACCACCAGATCTGCCCTTTCAAGTGCTGTGCAGAAGGCACGACAAACGACCCTCCGATGCACCAGAGGCACTCATGACAATATCTGACACCAGTGTGTGTGGATAAAGGAGTAATTCTGCAATTCAGTAAGTGGGGATTTACACAAGCGATGGTAACGTGTTGGAATGACAGCTCTGGCCCAGACCCCCTCCTCTGCTTGTGCTCTTCTGCTCTGCAGGACAACACCTGTGGAACATGCTGGTTCTGTCCCCAGCCACCCTGCCAAGGCACAGTGAGGAACCACAACTGTGCCCCACGCACTCAAAGAACACCAGGAGAAATAAAACCTGCTCCTTAAAGACCAGAGAGTGCCCTGGTTTGTAGGCAGGCAGCACCCTGGGCAGCACCAGGCACTGGGGCTGCTTTTGTTCACTGGCAATTGTGAACACAACCTTCCTAGGAAATGCCACAAGCTCCTGACCACCACGTGCAGGAGGAGTGTGACTGCCAGTGTGGCAGTGTCTGCTGGTTCTCAGCCCATTACAGGAAGCTAAAACTTCCCTTTTAGACATGTGAAATGGCACTCTCCAGACTTCCCTCAGCCGAGGGTCCCACACGCCGGGCACAGCTAATCAATCCTCTGAACTGCAGCATTTGCTGTAATTTTTGAAATGCATACCTTTTGCTGCCATGCAAAAGCACCAGAATTACTCTCAGTGAATAATGAGCTCAGCTTCTCAAGGATTAAGGAGACTTGCTTCAATTAAGAAAGATGCATCTATCTTTGCCATTGGGAAATGGAATACCCTGCCATGAGTCATGCATAATGAGCCATGAGAAAACAGTAGTTATTCATTTTTTTCTCTGCATATTTCATTTTTTTCAGTCAAATGCTGATTTTAAGTTTGAAGGAGCACTACTTTGCATGTCCTTCATCTGCTATTTAGCAAAAGGATAAAAAAATATTTGCTTGTGAGAGAAACTTGTAAATAGCACACAGATCCCATCAGAGTTGTCATGTTCCTAAAAATGAATGTATTTTAACCAACATTGCCAGTTTCCTTCCAAATGTCCTGAAATCAAAGAGTTCATGCCGTGGACACATCAGGAGTTTCAACACCCAAAAATACTTGGCACTCAGCTTCCAGCACACCAAGCCCTGCAAATCTGCAGCAGGGCAGGAATTGTGAGTGGCCACGAGCCATTCCCAGCCTCCTGCCCTGGAGATGGTCGGATGGCCCACTGAAAGAACTGCAGGAACATACCTGGCAAAGAACCACCCCAAGCCTCCTATCACCTGCTATTCTAGATTTATTCATGCTGAACTCACAGTGCTGATACCAGGGGGGTAATGATGTACTGACAAAAAAGAGTTACTGACAAAAAAGAGTTACTGACAAAAAAGAGTTACTGACAAAAAAGAGTTACTGACAAAAAAGAGTTACTGACAAAAAAGAGTTACTGACAAAAAAGAGTTACTGACAAAAACGTTTTGACTGGAGGGTAAACAAACAAACGTGGCCCCTGCAATACTCTTACACCTGTGCTCTCTCCAACCCTCTGATGTCTGAGCTTTTTCCAAGCCTAATATATGTTAGCTGGTATGGACTGAAAGTCACATTAAGAGCATGATGCAGTATTTGTATTATATTATTTTTCTTCTCAATAAATTAGATAGCCTAAATCGTCAAATCATTAATTTTTATCACTGACTTTTTTGAAAAGGGACTGTGTTGGAGCCTTTACATCTGTTCCTGGGGCACTTAGGAAAAACAAATCTAAGAATAATGGCAATTAAGGAAGGAGGCACACGAGCAGTTCCTCCAGCTGCCAAGAGAGTCAGACACCCTCCTCCTCCTCCTCCGCTCAATCCTGACCCACGCTGCAGCCAGTGGTGCTTTCAACTGTGCCAACAAAACTCCTCAAAATGACTTTGAGAAAGCCTCTGTAAGTCCCCCCTTCCTGTGTGTGTTCTGAGGCCTCTGATGTCCCCAAGGCAGCCAAGCCCTGTCCCCACATGAGCTCATCGTGGACAGAGGCTGCAGTCCCACCGTGTGGTTTACACGAGAGCGCCGAGAAAGCAGAACTGAGAGAGCTGGGAGCAAACTCAGCAAGCATGGCCAGGGTTGCCATGAAGATGGCCCTCCCTTTCCATGAATCACTCAAAAAACCAGCAGGGAAAATTGGGACCTCGGAATGCCAGGCAGGGACGTGACAAGTACAACATATAACTTGGGACACTGGTGAAGAGGAGGGAAGGAAGAAGGGCTGTCCTGAAGAGCAGCCAAAATAAAGTCTCTTTGTGGACAACTCCACTGCAATTCTTTAATGGGATTCTGGCAGCTCCATCCTGCTGAAACAGAGCAGATGCATTGTGTGCCCTGGCATCTGCCATCTATAGTTTACTAAATAAGTGAAAAATCAGGCTATGTTATGAAAAACTAAACAGTGAACATTTGGATTCTCTTAGAAGGACTGTCAGCCTCTTGAAAAGGGATAAAAAAAAAGCAACCAACCAAGCCTGAGAATACACTGCAGATACTTTTCTAAAAAGAAGAGAACTGCAGGATAAACCCCCCCCAAGCCAAAAGCCCTGAAATAAGGACACACCTCAGCCCTGCCACCTGCCCAGCCTGCTCTGCCAGCAGCTGCTGGGGAGCTCCAGAGCAGGGCCAGGCACTCAGCACATCTGCTGGCTGCCCCAGGCACCCTCTGCAATAGCTGCATCTCTGTTTAAAAGCCTTGTGAAGGTACCAACCCTGGTGCACCACACTGGTGACTGCAAGGAAAGGAAAGGAAAAGGCACAGCAAGAGCAAGGAGCTCTGAAGAGCTTCGAGCTGAGACTGAAATTTTTACTTTCGTATTAGAACTTCTTTTCCAAGGGAAAAAAAAGCTTGAAATGCTCTCTTTTAGAAAGTATTGTTTGAAGG